ACCGCGCTGAGGAAGGGGGAGCGTCCGCCGCCGAAGAAGGCTGACGGCCATGCGTGGAATGCGGTACGAATCGACGGCGGGGAGTGGAAATTGCTCGATGCCTGCTGGGGTGCCGGCAACGTGTCTGATGTGACGAAAGAATACACCAAGTCGTTCAAGCCGCACGAGTTCACTCGAAGGAACGACATTTTTGGACTATCGCATTATCCAAGCGACGACAGACATTTCTTCCGACCCGACGGCAGGGTACCCTCTTGGGAGGAATACTACATTGGCCCAGTACATGGCGACAAACCCATCGTCTACACGCACGCGTACGAAGAGGGCGTTTGGGACCACACCGTCGAACCCAAGGAGCTCCAGATCCCCGTCCACAGCGGCCAGGTCGTGCGCTTCCAGTGGTCCAACAAGTGCGAGCACTGGACCTCGGAGAAGCACGGCAAGGGGAAGCCCCCGCTGCTGTTCCTCAGCATCAAGGGGCGGGACGGCCGCAAGGACGACATGGTGCCCATTCAGACGGACGGGTTCTGGCACTGGGCCGACGTCAACGCCATCGACCTCGGCGCGCCGGGCCAGAGCGTTAGCGTGGCCATGATCACCACGATTGATGGGCAGGACGCCAGGGGCATGACGGCCGACTACTACTTTTCCAAGAAGGGGAGGTGCGGCATGGCTTGGACGTTCCTCATGAAGTGGGAGCTCATTTGATGATAAAGGGGCGACCGACGCATGAGAAATGAGGAGGGGGTTTCTATTGATGACTGTGACGGCCGAACATTACATCGTTTATAAATAATGATAATGGGACTCTTTTGGATCACACCCTGTGCCTTAGACTTTGGCTTTCTGGGGGTTCTATTTTGGACCCGTCTACTTTGGTGCTGATATGCAATGTAGGTCAACTCCATTCGGGGGTCAGGCACGGGGATTATGTCTTGAGCTCAGCACTGCTAAGGTATGAGACGAAACATGGCCAAAGTGACACGAAGCGATGATTTTATCGATTGATTACAAACTCTACATCTAATGGGTATCTTGCAATTTTATCACACACTTTGTCTCACAAAGCCCAGTCTATCTAACTGACCATTTATCCCTACACACTCTCTCCGCCTCATCAAAGTTCCAACTTTTGCCACTTGCGCAAGCGGCCTCCGTACCGGTATATCAACGCCGGCACGGGGATGAGCGCAATGGCAATGAACCCCAACAGACTGTTGCCCCACCCGAGGCCGAGGGCGGCGTACATGGACGGTCCCGCCATGGGCAAAAAGGCGGCGACGACGCTGCGAAACACCGTAAAGGCCGCCATGCCGGAGGCGGCGTAGGCCGGGTAGGCGTCAATGACGTAGGCCTGGATGGGCTGCCAGATGCCGAGGATGGCGATGCCGAACGGCAGCAGGCCGACGACGGGGGCCGCCCAGTGGGTGTGGAACTGGGCGGTCCAGCCGTACCAGAAAAAGGTGACGGGGAGGAGGGCGGCGAAGTAGATGCAATCGGGCAGGCGCATCTCGGGCTCGTAGACGCCGTTGTTGGCCTTTGTCATGCGGACGACGGTGCGGTCGGAGAGGAGGGTGAAGCAGGCCATGCCGATGAGGTAGCCTAGGCCGAGGGGGATGTAGACGAGCCCCGTGGTGCCGACGGAGAAGCCGTAGGTGGAGGAGAAGACGAGGGGGATGGTGCTGAAGAGGAGGTAGAGGACGCCGTAGGCGAAGGCGCAGTAGAGGCTGACGCTGAAGAGGATGGGGGAGAGGAAGAGCATCTTGATGGGGCGGACGAGGCCGCGGAGGAGGACCTGGGAGGTGGATTTCGGCGCGGCGCCCGGGGCGGTGTCGTCGTAGACGCTACGGAGCTCGGGGCGGTTCAGTTCTTTGCGGAGGCGCGCGACTTTGCGGTCGATGAGGACGCGGGGGTTGGTCTCCTGGTTGAAGACGGCGATGACGAGAGCCATGGGCGTGGCGGCGATGAAGGCGATCCACGAGCACCAGCGCCAGCCGACGTCCTGGGCGACGAAGGCGCCGACGATGGGAGCGATTGTCGGGCCGACGAGGGGTCCCACCATCCAGATGGAGATTGCGGTGCCGCGCTCGGCGATGGGGATCATGTCCGCGATGACGCCGCCGCCGATGGCGAGGCAGCCGGAGCCGCCCATGCCCGTGAGGAAGCGAAACACGATGAGGGAGTTGAGCGTGGGCGCGAGGGCGCAGCCTATGAGCCAGGCGCAGAAGAAGAAGTTTGCCGCGGTGAGGACGGGGCGGCGGCCGTACATCTCGGAGAGGGGCGCGAGGATCAGGGGACCGACGGCGTAGCCTAGGAGGTAGATGCTCACGGGCAGCGTTCCGAGGGTGAGGTCTGCGTTGCCGTAGTCCTCGTTGAGGTACTCGATGGCAGGGGCGAGGATGGACGAGGCGAAGGGGGTCATGAAGGTGATGCCGGCCAGGAACCAGATGATGATCCACTTGCGGCGGCGGGGGAAGTTCATGGGCATGGCCGGGTCATCTTGGGAGTCCCAGCCGACGAGGCCATTGTCGAGGTCGGAGACGGGGTGGATTGTGGGAGGGAGCTGCTCCTTTTCCTTTTTGCGGCGTGAGGAGGCCAGGCTTGCTATGCGGGAGAGGCGACTTTTCGCGCTGGCGTGGGAGTGTCCTGTATGTATGCGCTCGACGACGATGTCCTGGAGATGGAGTTAGCGCAGAACGAGTATCACGAAGTATGAATGACATTAGGTTGTAATGGAATTGGGCACTCCCGGAGAAGTCATAGGAAAAGACAAATAAAGTGCCAATGGCCATTGAGCCTTGGCAAACTCTTAAGCAGGCGCAAAAGTCTTGCCAAGGAACATCTGCAGAGAATATGGAAACTCACCTCCTGGTACGGCTCGCTGTCGGGCGTATCCTCAACATCGTCGAAGCTCTTTCTCTCTTCCATTTCAGTCTTTTCACCCTTTTCCAAATCGCTTGATGCGTTGAAGTTTTGTCGAGTGTCCCGTTCCGTCAGGGTGCCCTGCTCCGAAGAGGATCCTCGGTGCCCGTGGGCGCCGGCCGGCGTCTCCACGTCCTTCTCGGACGTCATTCTTGGCTGACAAAAGTGGATGATGCCTATGAATGAGCAGTCGGTGAAAAGATTGATCAAAGTAGTTGGATGTGATACCACTTGAAATTGAAAAGTAGGAAGGAGGGGGTTTTGTAGGTGAAAGGAGAATGAATGGGAAATTGAGAATGAGGATGGGAAAGAGCAATGGGCCCGGAAGTAGTAGCCGGCGGGAGGAGCAAGCACGTATCCGCGTGCCTGGCGTATCTATCCACTTAGCAATAATACCTACTCAGTTGCGCTGCCGTGACTCTACGGCGTGAGCAGTAAGGAAAACTGCTTTAGTAATTCTAACCCGAGACCCCCCCTCTCCTCTCCTTTCCTTTTCCCCCCAGTTGCCGCATCTACCCTTGTGTACTATGTGTAGGGAAGGGCGCGAGGGCGAGGCAAGGGCGACGATCAGTTGAGGTGAATGGTGTAACGTTATTCGACCAGTACTGTCCAAAGTCCCCATCTCCATCATCTTTCGGCCGACCCCCCCTTGCGACTTGCAGGCTAAACCTGCAGGAAAGTGCGTTTTAGCCTCTCTTCCGCCGCCGGGGTTTTCGCTCCCCTCTGCGTCCTCTGAGTCGGGGCTAGTAACTCCAGATTTTTATCTCCGTACCCGCTTCGAGACGGGCATAGTTGGGGTCTGGGGGATCGGGGATTGGAGGGGCACATAGTATGGATACACAAAGAACGAGAAGAATGCAGGTTGACTCTACCTTGGGTAGGGTGTGGTGGACCTCTGAGACTAAGGTACACACTAAGGACAAGCAACCTCGGATCTTGTTTCTCAGTGATAGGCGGTGACGGCGACGGGAGAGTCTAGGACGCGGGGTTCGTTGGAGACGGAGCCGTGGATTATCCATGGAGATCCGCAACGGAACAATGGGATTGAAGCTGACCACCAATACGGCAAACCGGCAGTGTTGGGCATTCCGTCATCTCTTTGCCGTGGCATGCTTAATTCCGCGTTTTCTGCTTTAGTTTCCGCAGCTGGTGGTCATTGGTTGCGAGCTGGAATAGTGTTTGTAAGCTTCATGTACTTATCTAAGGTAGATAGCTGTCACGGCGGAATTGTGAGTTGTATCAAATGCGTATACAGCTGTAGTGTAAGTACCTAGAAGCGAGAAGACTGCTAGGAAATAAAGGATGAAGTTCCAGTTACCAATGCAACAAGAGCCTTAGAGTTTGTAATCAATCAACTGTAGAGATAGAGTTCATCTAGAATTGCTAGACTATGGATACTACAGACTCAACCACTGGTCAATGCGCCGCCTCTCCAGTACTCAAGAGCCAAGTCTCGCACAGACCAAAGGCTGCAACAGCTGCAACAGCCTGCAAGCGCAATGAGGTGGAAGGTTGTAACTTGTAACCGTTCCCCGGCTCCACTTCGGTTGCTGATTCCTCGCCTTCCTTTCCTGACGCTCCCTGAACCTCCACAGCCCACTACCGCACTGCGTATCTGCCCCGCAGCCTCCCGAAAAGCCCAGTGCCCACATGGGAAAGTTCAGCGTGGTTTCCACACTCTATCCGTCCGCATACTCCAAAAAAAGAAGACAGGAAAAGGGAAAGCCACCATCCGATTACGCGCCCCCCCTGGAAGTGAGTGGGGACCTCTTCCTCCAAACTGACGAAGCCCTCCTCCACCTTCTGCAACTGTGTCCCATCGCAAAACCTTTGACGTTGCGATCTTTCTCTTCTTTCCATTGTTGCAGCTTCAACCACTCTTTCCCGAAAACAAAACCACCTGCGCACCTGTCTACTCACCTTGCGCACAGGAGGACGATGCAATCGCACCACAGCCAAGCCTAGGCTCCTACAAGAAGTAAAGGAAACGCTACCGGAACTGAACAGAGCTGCTGGTACCACAACCACCGCGGTGGGCGCGTTCTTGCCTGCAAAACCCGACGATACCACAGCCCAAGATGGCTTCCTCTTCAACCTCCTCTCCGACTCTCACCCGAACCGAGACTCTGAGCCTGGGGGCCCTCTCCTTTGCCGCAGTCGCAGTCCTCCTCAATGCCTTCCAGGGCGAGGGCGAGCCCCTGATAGCGTCACTGGCACTCTCAGTCCTGGCCTTTGCGCTGGCCTACTCCATGATCCGATGGCTTGGCCCAGTCTTTAAACAGGCCGGCTTCAAGGGCCGCGACCTCTCAAAGCACCACCGCCCTGAGCTGCCCGAGTGCATGGGTGCCGTCTGCGCTGCCGTCTACTTACTCGTCGTCATCGTCTTCATCCCCTTCCCCTTCTACAAGGACATTGTTGCCGCCACTAGCGGTGGTGGAAACAGGGACGTTGTATTCCAGGTCGAGCACGTACAGCAGGGACGATTTCTTCATCGCTTCCCCCATAGCAAGGTCGGCCTAACTCGTCTCTCCTTGAGCGCAACGCCACGAGAGATCATTTACTGACACATCCCAAACTGCCAGCTCGCCTCCTACCTTTCCGCAATCATCTCCCTCCAGACGACCGCCCTCCTTGGCATCGGCGACGACCTCTTCGACATCCGATGGCGACACAAGTGGTGGATCCCAGGCCTGGCCTCGGTCCCCATCCTCGTAATCTACTTTGTCGACTTTGGCGTCACCTCCATCGTCATCCCGATCCCCCTCCAGCCCTACCTCGGCGAGCTCTTCGACCTCGGCGTCCTCTACTACATCTACATGTCCTGCATCGCAATGTTCTGCCCTCAGTCCATCAACATGCTCGCAGGCATCAACGGCATCGAGGTCTCCCAGTGCATCGTCGTCTCCCTCCTCCTCGTCCTGAACGACTGCCTCTACCTCTTCACGCCCTACCCCCACCCGGCCACCGACTCCCACCTCTTCTCCCTCTACCTCCTCCTCCCCTGGCTCGGCGTCTCCTTCGCTCTCGTCCTGCACAACTGGTACCCTGCCAAGGTCTTCGTCGGCGACACCTACTGCTACTTCTCCGGCATGGTCTTCGCCACCGTCGGCATCCTCGGCCACTTCTCAAAGACGCTCGGCCTCCTCCTCGTCCCCCAGCTCTTCAACTTCCTCTACTCGACGCCCCAAATCTTTGGCCTCATCCCCTGCCCTCGTCACCGCTTGCCCCGATTCAACGCTCGCACCGGCCTCCTGGAAACGAGCAAGACGCCTTGGAGCCCCGAACGCCAACCCCGCCCCCTCGTCGCGCAAGGACTGCACCTCCTCGCCAAGTTGCGCCTTCTGGAAGTAACGGTGGACGAAAAGGGCCGCTTCGTGGAGACGAGCAACTTCACCCTGCTCAACCTGTGGCTCGTCTGGAGAGGTCCCCTGAGAGAGGACCGCCTCGCGTGGGAGGTCACCTTCCTCCAGCTCTTTGTCGGCCTGTTTGGTCTCTTTGTTCGCCATCGCCTCGCTCTGCTCATCTTTAAGGAGGATAACTGGGGTATGACGACCAAGAGATACTGAGCAAACCTGCCGTGTGTTATGGGCCTCAGAAAAGAACTCTGGACCTCGCACGTTTAACAATTTTCACCAATCCTGGAACCGCATTCCATCCGGGGTATTTTGCCTCATTCTCTTGTCTGGATTTCGCATCGCAATGGGGGACGGACGGCATGGTTAGAAGAGCCGTATGTCTGTACTATACGAAAAGAGTTGGTTGGAGGTTTGAAATTGAGATACCCTGTAAGAGTACCTGGCGGGTATGTAAGACCCGAGATCGACACTCTTGAGAGATGGTCGATAAAATCAAGATAGAATTGCAAAAGTCACATCACAAGTATGGCATCAGGGAAACATGATATTGTGAGCGAAAACTTAGGCAGCCTGTTCCCAGCTGCAAAAAAAAAAATGAGCCCTCCATTTGTCATGGGAGGGGTGTAGTAGTCCCGCACCGAGGCGACTTCCACTTCGCCCGGCACAGCTAACAAAGCCTAGAAATACACACGAAAACATGCCGTTCGTGGCGAGAGTAGTTGGAACCTCCTTTCCCGGTCTTTTCATCTCGTATCGGTCGATACCCGGCTCTTCACTGCGTCTGTCCGTGTCCCCCTTACGTTACGCCATAGATCCCCCATCGAAGAAAAGATTCAGCTTTCCTGCCAGACGACAAAAACAAAATAGTGTCGAAATGGGCTTGTGTGTTTTTCGTAAGACGTGCATTTTCTTTTTGCAGCTCCTCCCAAAAACAACAGTAAAACGAAGTTCATTTGAAGACATTCCCGAAAAAGCGCTGACCGAACCCGATGAACCCCTTCCCCTTTCCCATTCCCATTGTCCGTCGCTGCCCAAACGCCAAAGTCAATCACCAGACTGTCGCCGCCCCGAAACGTTTTTGATAATATTTAGAGGGGAAATAAAAGCCGCCGTGTCATCTTCGGAACTCGTGAACCCCGTTCTATGTTACAGCGTGTTGGCGGCCGCAGCCGCAGGATTCGAGTTGATCGTGTTGCCCGTAACGGGTGTAAGAACATCCGCACTCTTCTCAATCACTGGAGAATCGACGATAGCATCGAGCGTTGGCTTCGTCTCCTCAGTACCAGAGAGTGAGGTCTTCAGAGTGCCAGCAGGCTTGGCCTTGTTCATCCTGCTCTTGGTGTAATCGCTGAGGCTCAACTTCTTCTTGACCGGACTTGGATGTGCCCCAACACCATTGACTGCAGTCGGAGCAAATGGACTGGGTAGACTGCTTGCGGAGAACGGCGACTGAATTGTCGACGGTGTTGAGGCACTGGGAGTCGCCGATGTGGGTCCGTTGAAGGCAGGGACCGGTGGCATCGTGACCCGTAACTCCGGTGATCTCATCTTCAACGGGCTGCTTGAGCCATTCGCGGGTCCATCTGAAACGCTGTCGGTCTGCAGGGGCGATTTTACCGTGCTTGGCGAACTTGTCGGAGCATCCGACATCACGACATCGCCAGCAGGAGGAGCGGCTGGCGATGTATCGCGGGCTTGATTGCCGATGTCCTTGGAGGGCGGAGGAGATTCAGCACTAGGCTTGACCTCAGCTGGTTGATCCACGTCCATGGGTGTTGGCTCCTGAGCGGAGAGAGAAGAGAGTGACTTGCGTCTCTCGACTTCATCACAGCGTAGGCGGTGTCGATTGTTGAGCAGCCGTTGCGAAAGAGATATGATACGGCGTCGTGGCCTGGGTGTTTGAACGGGCTCACTGTACCACTCGCCCTCGACAGGGTCAGTTTGTACACCGGCATCGCAGTAAACGGGACGAGGTGTGGATGATGTTCGCCCGGACTGGGAACCGACCGACTCCGCTCTGGAGGCAGGTGCCTTGAACGGATTCTGTGCCGTTGGTGACACGCCACTTGAAGGGGAATTCGACTTGCTTCGAGATGTTCCCGCATCGACGTAGTGTGTAGTGCCGCTGGATGCGTTGCTGGTTGAGCTGCGTTGTTTCGTCTTGGAAGAACCGGAAGTGGATGCCGTGCCATCGGATGTTCGCTTCTTCTTGCGTGGAGGTTGTTGCTGTTCCATTCGTCGGAATGAGTCTTCAACCATTTGAACCTTGCGTTTGTCCCTGTCAGTCGGTTCTGTGAGGATACCTGGCCGATCCAATGAACCCTGGCGTACGGGCGTGCGATCACGACTAGGCGGTTTGCTGCGCTCAGAAACTGACCGACCGTCGTTGTCGGCGTCGTCTTGGTGTCCCTCGCTAGCTGCGCGACTGTTTGTAGCGTGACCGGTGCTGGTGGGAGAGATGGTGTGGGTTTTTGGCTTTCGTTGTTTCTTCTTTGCGGGAGGCCGAGACTGAACCTTCGCTTGGTGTTGTCTGTGGAAGCGAGCAAAGGCACAGTTCGCACCCAAGTCACACGCACAGCCGCCGTACTCGGACAATATCCGATGAATCCAGCCCGATAGTGTTTGGTACTCAGCCTCGTCCATCTCAGACTCGTTCTGCGTATTGGTGTCGTCGTCAGCGAGGCCCAGCAGATGCACTAACCGTGCCTGGAACTTCTTGGGTAGCCTAAAGTCCCATGGTAGAGTAATTTGCTCGTTTGCCGCGATATATCTGTCGCTCATGAGCCAGAAGTGATACTCGGATTGGCCTGACAGGTACGTATCCAGCAGGGCGTTGGGCTTGCAGCTTCTTCGAACGAAGCGAGCCATCGATCCTTCTTTCCTGGTATCAATGTACAAGGGAAGCATGGGGTGGAAGAAAACAAAAGGTAACGGGGACGAAAGTTCCTCCCAAAGGTTTTCGGGATCTGCGCAGTAGTCCTTTTGGAATCCGATCACGCCGTTGAGTTCAATCAAAGGGACGTCTTTCTCGATGGCGGCAGGGGTAGCAAGATATTGCCATCGTAATGTCGTCTCTGGCGAGACAGGAATCTTCTTGCTCTCGACGTGAAGCTGACGCTTGCGAGCGTCAATGTCTTTCGGCAGCTTGGCAAAGACGTCGTTGAATTCCTCGCCCGTCTCTTGCCTCATACGATCCGGTTCCCGAAGCCAAACTGACAAGGTATTGGAAACGAAGAGGCTCGCAAAGGAATTGATGCGAGTGATGGGGATGTCTGCTTCTTTGCTCATGGACAAGAAGCCGTCCGAGTAATTGTGTATTTGAAAATCGCTCGGAAGGTCCGGGGGAGTAGTTGCTGGGCTTGGGGGGTGGCCGTTGGGTTGTGATCGCCCACCATTGCCGTACGAAGGACTTCGCTTTGCGTTCTGAGAACTGATCGAATGGGATGGCCGATGGGATGACTTCACCTTCTTGGTTGGGTGAGGGTGGTCGCTCGGACTTCCGTGCTTTGCATTCTCCTGGCCCACAGGGTGGCCATTCAACTGCAAGTCCGTTGGCTTTGGCTTCTTCTTGTGGCTTTTGGATGGCGGGCGTTTGGCCTTCTTATCTGGTATGGTTTCTGTCGTGGGACCATTCTTTAGTCGCCGGGTTCGCTCGATGGCCTTTTGTCGATCTAGGGGGCGCGGCTTGCAATCAGCGCACGAGTGGGCAAAGTCTTCGCGGAGGGCCTCCTCGCGACTGTGAGGGTAAAAGCAGTCGATGTGCTGCCACGTGTCACACGTCTCGCAATAGATCGTGTTTCCATCATCGTCAGTGAAGTTGCAAATACACTTGATCGTGTACGGCTCTTCTTCCTCTACCGTCTCGGCCTTGCGTGGCACATTGTGTGTTGAGACTGGTACGCTCGGGGCGAAGAGGGTCTGACTAGGAGTCGCGGTCTGCGTCGACAGCGGCTGGGGCTTTTCGGTCATAATCTAGGTTTGCCTCGTGGTGCGAATTGAAGTCGAGGTATTGGGTGAGATGATTACTGTTGCGGCCTGGGTAGCATGACGACGCCTGTCTAGACGTACAGCTACAAGCCGTCGAATGAACCACAGAAACAGCAGTACGCAGGGCCGTCGTCATCCGTCGGCGGGAAGGGTATGGTCGAGTCGAGGGTTCTCGACGAAGCTGGGTAAGGTAGGACTCGGTGGGATTGTCGAGTCCGGCTCACAAAGGACAGGTCGTCGCAGAGGCGAGGAACGGTCCAACAAATCGCTTTTCACACACCGCGGTCGTCCCGAAACCAGGAAAACACCGTTAGGTTGTCACAAGCGTGTGTTGTGGGCGTCGTGAGGTGGAAAACTTTTCGAATTGTGATCGCGAAGAGCGTGTCCACGGACCGATCGAAGCCAGAAGACGGATCAAGTCGAAGAAAGGGTTGAGCGGTTGCGCCTCGTCGACGGGGAGGGATGGAGCGTTTCGAAAAGCTGGGCCGAGTCGGGAGAATGTAGTATGAGGAGGAAATCGAGTGTTGAGGACCGGAGGTGAGGTAGAGAAGGGTATTTTGGGTCGAGCAAGTGAGGGTGGAAAAGAGATTGAAAGAGAAGAAGAGAGGGGGGCACGACACGAAGGAGAGAAAGATGGATGGGTCCCCCAAAGGAGCGTAGCAGACACCAGCGGTGGTGGTGGTGGCAGCAGCAGCAGCAGTACCTGGGTAGGAGTAGTAGGTAGGAGTGCTGGTGCTGGTGCGGTGCGGTACGAGTTGAGCGAGACAGGTCCCAGTGCAGGAGCGTGCAGGCCGGAGCCTAGGCCAAGCCGAAAAGAGAGAGAGGGCGAACGAGCAGGAACAGTGACTGCACTGCTTAGGTCGGGGGACTTGGATTCTGCGGGCTTGGGGACTGACTGGCACCTTGTGCTTCGGTGCGCGGGTTGCGGACTGGAAGATGGGGGGGAGGGAGGGCAAGGGAAGGGGGGGCGTCTTCGAAGATGGGATTTTTTGGGGGGAAGGGCGATGAGGACTCAGGACGGGTTGCTGGGTGCTGGGATGCTTGGGGAGCATCGCACCTGCTCAGCTTGAGATGCCCTGGCACCTGGCCCGCTGCCCGCTGGCTGGGGGGCACTGGCTACCACCAGCCAGTCCGCCAGCCGTCACAGCCTGGTATGGCCGGACATGCGCTGGAGGGAAGGGCGACGACAACAGGACGGGGGGAGACTAGAGACGGGAAGACAGACGAGGAAGAGAGTGAGAGAGAGAACGGGAGACGAGGGCAGAAAAGCCAGAGCCCGTGTGTAGGGAAAACAGGGTACAGAGGTACCGGTACTTACTTGAAGCTAAGCCCGAAAGGCGGTGGACACGCTGATATGAGTGGCTCCAACTGTCCAATCAGATGTCTAGCGCAGATCCATGATGCCTCAGGCAGAAGAGGTTTCAGGCCGCAACCAGACACAGAGAAAATGGGAAAGTGTGTGATGGTTCCCGTCTGATGAAGGACTGGTGAGTGCCTTGTTAGCCCTCCGCACCAGACGCGCCTGAGAGGTCGACCAGGCAAAGAAGAAGGCGGAGATGGCGAAAGAAAGAAAAAAATCCAAGTCTGCGTGATAAAAGAAGCAAAATGTTGGAGAGAAAGTGGAGTGAAGACGCTATCCGCAATAAGTGTACCGAAAACAAAATCAAGGAGGCATTCGACTAGAACAGACTCTCATCATCTTGATGAGAGCAGCTGGCGGCCACGGAACGTCGGTTTGATGTGAACAAAAACAAGAGGCAGACTCGTCTGGTGGGAGTGGAGGGACAAGAAGCGGCATGCAAAGATTTAATGAGTAATAAGAGAGAAAGAAATGGGCAGGCAGCGTGGTGTTGGTGTTTGGTGCGAGTTGGGTGATGGATCCTCTCTGGCCCTAGCAGAAACGCCGGGCGGATGTGACGGGAGGAGCGAGAGGTGGAACGACCGAGGGCGAAAGGCGACGGCAGACTGGTCGAGGACTGGTCGAAAGAGGGGTGACCCGCGCGACGGGAGTGACTCTGCGTGCGCCATACGGATGGATGGGTTCATGGATGCCTTGCTTCGCTGGTTTCTGCCTGCAAAAGAGAGGACATCCGCGTGCCATATGCGTAGACGAATAAGATATCCGTCAGGTAGGTAGGCGTGGAGGGCGTAGGCGGAAGTGAACAGCTGTGAGCACTGAATCCCTATTGCCGTAAGCCAGGAGGGGAGAAGTCGACGCCAGAGACACGGGAGAGAGAGTATGTGACTGGTATCTGGCCGACGGAAGGCTAGGCATAAGATAAGCGTAGGTTTGATTGCCTGTGTGCTCCGTACTATGAGCGGGAGAATGCCGGCGTCGCGTTGATCTCCTCGTTGAGTTCCAGTTGAACAAGCGTCGAATTCGATGCCTTCAAACATGGTAGCGTCTTTGGAAAACCAAACCAGCGAAATTCAAGACTGAGAATCGGGGATGACCATGGCTTTCATCCCATCCCGAGGGAGACGTGAGGCCCGTCCAATTATGCGCAATCTGGGTTTTCTTAAAATAGGAGGCCTTCGAGCGACTTGCCGTTGGCGCGTCGTTTCGCAGGAAACCTTTGTACCCTTGCCCCCTATTCTGCCTGACTTGTGAACAAGTGAGTGGTTGCTCTTCTCTGATTTGTGCTAGGTAGGCAGCTAGACGACGTGGGCGGGTGGCAAGAGTCACTTTCCGGTTGAGGGCAGCCCAAGTCCAACCCGCCATGGCGCCAGGGGTAGAAGAAGCCAACGGGACTGGAGAGACACTCGGGGGGCCCTCCGCTGGAGGTAAGGTGGTGAGTGGTGAGACTGAGAAAGAAGGCCGACTTCGAAGGCGCCGTCATCCACTCTGGACTCCACTGCTTCGAATGCTCTTCGCTTCCAAGCCCAATATCCACTTTCGTCTCTCCCTCTCTCTCTGATCCATCATAGAAGAGCTTCTCACTTCTCGTCGCAGAATTGTGTGTCCAGCCGAAAAGGTACGAATACGGCAGTCGAGAGTTCATCGCGTCGAGGGCTACGGAAACGAAGAGGACGCTACACCAAGGTCAGCCACCCATAGTTACATGTACGTACACACCTCAACGAGGACGGGAGTGACTTACTGGATAGATAGGCCGAGGTACCTTGAGAACTTCAAAGGAAGCAAAAGGAAGAAAAGGTACATCTCTATACGTCTCTGGCTCAGCGACTCTTTTCGGCTGCAGTGGGATCGGGTTGTATTGGATTTCCATTGGATAAAGTGGGGCTTGCCTGCGAAAGGGCAGCATTTCTGATGCTCCTTCTAAAAACCCAAAATGGTGAAGTCCCTCCTCCCCCAAGCCGCAAGTCCCACGGCGTAGCGTCGCGTCCTGCCGATTCCCACTTGTCTGAGGTCTCAACTCAACATCCCTCTCCCTTCTCTCATTGGTCAGTAGATCAATCTGGGAATGGCCGACCGGGTCTTACTGCCAGGGCCTAATATTATCGTGCATGGAGCCGGTCTTTCGCTCCCTGCAACAAGTCGCTCTTCCCCCTGGTCAAGCTGGAGACCTGCAGTTTTGCATGCGACTTTGCGTTGGAGTTTTGGAGGTGACAAACAGCTCCGACTCGGATGCGCAAATGTTGACTCTAGAGTGAGAGAGAGTCGTCTCTGCTCGCCCACGCTCACGGCTGACGGAAGCTTTCGCTGGTTGTGTCGCAGAGGTAAGTATCTTCGCCGTAAGGTCAACCGCCCGCAGAGGCGGCCCTTGATGACTGCAGCTGGAGCTCTTCCACCATCACACTTTCCGTGAAGCCTCTTGCACAGCTCGTCAACCCAAGGCGACAGCAGCATGCAGGTTGAAGTCATCATCACCGCAGGCTGATGCGAAGCTTCCCCTCTCGGCACTGGAACTTCATCCCACCCTTTCGTTCGACACTTCGGTACGGAGTAGCGTAGCTGACTCTCGCCTCCAGTTGCTCTCCTTTTTTCTCCAAAATCCCACGCCGTCGCCCGATGCCCCTTCAACCATCTGCGCCAAATGGCTCGACCCCTCACCAAGACAGACTAGGTTGGCCTCCAAGAGCTCGGTAAATGGCACGCTGCGTTGAACTCTACTGCGAACTGTGACAGTGTACACAGAAACGGAGGCATGGGGGGCGGCCCTTTGGGTTGCTGAGGTGTCATCTATCTGCCTCACCAAGCCATAGTTGCAGAAGTATCGGTACTTTGACCACGTTCAGTCAATGCTCCTCAGGTCCAGCACAATTGCGCGCCTCTAAATGCGACCACGCGCGGCGCCTTTGCGAGCAGTTGTGGTCCTTGTTGCCCTTGGGTTGACTGGTTGCCCAGAGCGCCCGGGTGCTCCAAGTACAGTACGACGTAGGGGGGGAACATCAGTGCCCGCTGCCGTCTCGAAGGCTCGTCGAGCCTTTGCCGTTCATAATAATGCTTCCTCGGTGATGGGATCGACGGGAGGAACTGCGCTATCCTTCCGCTTTCTCGCCCCGTCATCCTTCTCCTCAACTGGAGATACCGAGTAGACAAACAAAACAAAGAGTCGCGGTTTCCCGTCGTCCATCCGCACCCAGCTGGCGTAAAGGGCCCCGGCATGATTCGCGGCCGGTGTCCCTGTAGCTAGGATCTCCCTGTCCTATGATCGCGTCCTCGAGACTTGTCCAAAAGTTTGCGACACTGATAGCCAGGGCTGCAGCTGAGTTGTCGAGGTGCCCCGTACTTGTTGACCACGGTCCCCAATCATCGTCCAAGCAGGTTGGCCACACTTTCCGGTTCACTCGAGCACTTGTTTGTGCCAGCTCCCTGCACTCGACGCCGGACTGATTGGTACAAGCCGACGGACCCGTGCACCACGGTTTTCCCACCATGAAAGACGCATGAGATGGTGTGGCTCCTGGTGTGGCTACCTTTCTTCTCAGGTCATCATCCATGCCGTAGCACGACTTCTTGAATCGCGGACGGAGTTCTGTCCAATCACGAAACCTGCGCAGTCGAGACCTCGAAGATGCTTGGATCGAAGTGCGCACCAAGCAGTTCTGGCTCCGATACTGAAGATCTTGGAGGAGCCAGCGGCTTGTGATGATGGAGAGACCCTGAACAGTTTGGCTGGCACTGGGCTTTCAATGCTGAGGTTGCTGTCTGTCTGCTTCGGTTCTGTCCACGGGACCAGAGTTCCAGGGATCTTCCAACAAAACCTGGGCCGTCGAAACAGCCCAGCTGCTCTGTGTGACAAGGCTCCAGCCGTCGCATAGGAGTGAGCACAGGCGGAGGCGAAAAGTCAAGTCCATTATTGTGGCTAGAACGCCGACAGCTCCTTCCTCGTGTGGCGCTCCGTCTTGTTTGCGCATGGACGGCTCCCTCAATGCGCAAATGGTGATATGGCACTCGCGACGCAATTCCATGGTCGCAGCTCGTAATCGAAGGACTCGGCCGTTTCAATCTCCAAAAGACGAAGGCGGGAGGTAATCTGGAGCTGGGAAGTCGATAACGAAAGTGGGATCTTTGGAGGGGAACGAAGCAGAAGAGTGGGAATTTTACGGTGGCCCGTGCGACGCCGACGACAGGATTCGATGTACCTTTTGGGACATCATTCAAGAGGCTCTGTCGTTGTCTAGTGTACTTGCTTTGGTCCAGCAAAAGCATTATTTCGGAGGCTCCTTGTGGTTGTTACTTCTGCAATGTGAGCTTCCAATCAAATAGCTATACTTCAATGTACAGACCTATACAAAGGGCACTGCTTGCTCTACACCAAAGATATGCAATGAAAGGTACCTCCAATGTCGCCATGGTCGCTGGGGAAGGCAAAGGCGCTTGTCCCGACCAAGGTCCACCTAGCTCCATCCAATCAGATCGATTTGACGTTGTCCCCATGACGTTCTCCCTCCGAACCCAGCCCCGTTCGTTGCTCACCACCTACCAACCAAAGCCACTCGCAGGAACCACTTCTCTATCACCTCCCATCATCCTCACGCTAAACATCGAACCTCGGACGCCGACGAGTACACACCGAGCATTATCAACGACATCGAGACCGCCGTTGTTCGAACCGCTCATATCCCATCTTCCTAATCACTAAACAACCTCGACCTCTATCCGCGATGAGGTTCGCCACAGCTGTCATCGCCTTCCTCTCCGCCGGTCTCGCACCGGCCGGTGCCAGCGTCCTGGTCCAGAGAGACCAGTCCGTCATTGTTAACGATGACCTCAAGGTCCCCGGCGACTCGCCTTTGGAGCTCTGCCCCAAGTCTCATGATGAGGACATCGTCACAATCGACAGCGTAGACCTCTCTCCCAACCCTCCTCAGGCGTAAGTTTGTTTGCAGTAGCCCCCAGTCTATGACGATGCATACCGCGGTATCGTGAAACGGGAGCCAGCTAACATGGCGTTTCAGTGGCAAGGAGCTCGTCATCAAGGCTTCCGGCACCGTCAAGCAGAACATCGAGAAGGGCGCCTACGTCCTTCTCCAGGTCAAGTACGGCCTCATCCGCCTTATCAGCACCAAGGCGGACCTCTGCGAGCAGATCGAGAACGTCGACCTCGAGTGCCCCATCGAGAAGGGTGTTCTCACCGTCACCAAGTCTGTCGAGCTTCCTAACGAGATCCCCTCCGTAAGTCAGGCTCATCTATATGAACCTTATAAGGTTATTGACAATATCTACAGGGCAAGTACACCGTCTTTGCTGACGTCTACACCGCCGATGATGTCCCCATCACCTGCTTGACCGCTCAAGTCGTTTTCTCGCGCAACACCAAGAGCTTCTTCAGCTTGGAGCTTTAACTTAATTACAAGCATACGAAGGTTTACGATGATGGGGCATGGGTTACAGTCACACGTAGCGATACATCCAGATTGCTGTTGGGGTTTCACTTCATCTCATAACACTGGTAGCATTAGGAATTTGGCATAACGCAGTTCAACTTCGCCCGTGTGATGGATCCGTTTGAGGGTCCTTTTAGGTGTTCATTCTGCGTAGGAGTATCGGCATAACAATGCGTACGTACATAGGGTAGCGGTGCTAGGCATGTAGCTCGCAATTTATTCATGATAGGCCGGTGCGGTCCATCCAAACTCCGAATACGCTGCCGGCGTACCATGCTTTTGCCTCTTGGCCCTTACTATCCCCATAATCTGTGGAATTACATGCTTATTCGCCAAACAACCGGCGCACTCTGCGCAAAACACTGTCCTTCTCGGGGTCGTACGGGTGGTCCTTGCTCGGAATTTCGAGAACGGTCGGGAAAGCAGCAGTGTAGGTATCGACCCGATGTCTTATGCGATCGGCAATCTGTTCTTTCAATCAGTATGTGTTCTCTTGGCACAAGGCCTCCCCCCCTCCCCCCCGGGATCGCTACTGACGTGTTGGTTGATGAGGATGATGCCAATGTCCTTCCTCGAAGTGAAGGATTCAAAGGTAGACTCGATCGTAGCGGTGTCCGTCTTGCTATCCACCACCAGGAAGTTCTTTTCTTGGTCGGCACCCGTGCTGACATGCTGTGCACTTGTTAGTTATCTCGAGCCGCAATCGGAATCGTCGTGGAGTCGAAAGAGCGCACCCCAATGCCAGCGAGGAGGAGGCCGGTGACCGAGTCCTAGTTCTCAAGTTTTAGCCATTTGTAATCAGTCATGGTGTCGAATACGCGAAGTGTCCTACCTCGTCGCCAATAACGGCGAGGAACTGGCGGTCCTTCATATCTGCTTGTGAAGCCATCTTGGATGACTTGTGCGGTTGTTGGAGAGCTTGCGATGGCCCAGGAGGTCGGCGGACGGATTGACGTACTTGCCTTGATTACCTGTACCCGACCTGGCGGCGGGCTGGCAGCGCTCCACTCCAGCACCTCACTGTGGCTGAAGTGCTGTTAGCGCTGTTCTGCCAGGTACCGCCTGCTGGAGCCCGAACTGCTAACAGGCTCGGATGAGGTGTGGGCTATGCGACAGAAGCCAGTGGAGACCCCACTTGCAGCATTCCGGTACGTATCTCCCAGGTACTTTCAGTTTCCTTTCAGTTTACGGTCCATGCACATAAGGAAGGTACCCCTGTCGAAAGCTCCTCTTGCCTAGCAGCGGGACAATGGCCCAAAAATCAATAGACCCAGACTTCTTTGTAAACAATTTCACCTAGCGACGAAATCGACGACGACAACGACGACAAACGACACCGACGCACCACTCGATCCCGCCCGTCGACCACGAAACCATCGCCTTCGAGGCTTCCAGAATTCCATCCGCCCAGAAGTCGCCTGTTGATGGCAAGAAGCGCAATCTGACGAGATGCCGCGTCTAGTGCGAAAGAAGCCGCTCTCTGAGCGCCTGAAGGCCATGCTGAACCCTATGGACTTCTTGCTCTGGCTATCGGAAGAATTGGAGACGAGAGATTGGGATTCAAAGGCACTAGGAACACAGCTCGGGCTCGGCTGCAACTTCGTGTTTCTCCTTGCTAGAGCTAACTGCGTAGCATCGGAGGTCGAGGATGATGTGTTCAGCGATGGGAGCTCCGGGGGCATCGTCACCTACATTGTCAGTAGCATCGAGTCGCATGGGTTGCGCATCATGGTTGCTAACAAGTCCTCAGGTGCGGCCCCTCGTTTGGATTCTTGGCCTCCTATCTGTCGCCAACGCCTTCTATACCATGTCGAGAACGAGGCAGTACCGATTATTCCAAGTCAACGTTGAAGACAAGCCGCACACCCCCTCAGCCCAACGAGTCAAAGCCAGGTCCGACCCGGCCGTCTCTTCGCCCCTGAGACTCTTGAATAACCTCCTGTCTTCCGAGACTGCCGAGTCGCGAGCCCACCCCGACAGATCACACGACGTCTGGGAGCTAAGTGTCTGGGATCCTCTCCCGGTCTCTTTGCAGCTCTTCTGCCTCTTCAGCCCTGGCCACGTCCTTGTCTATATGATGTTCCTCCCTCTGGTGCCCTTGGATCCCAGACCGAGTGTAACAGTTTTCAACTGCATTGTGCTACAACTCATTCTTTCCGTCCAGCTGATTTTCGTCCAAACTCGGTATGCTCAGCAGATCAAGGATACGGCTATCATCCACAAGGAGGTCCTCCACGAGTACGACACCAAGTTCGTGCGGCCACGTCTTCACCCGGTTGTTCGCGATGTCGGCACACAGTGTTCGCCTGAAGAGGCTAAGGATGAAGAGTCCTTTGTCGAACTGGGAACGCCTACGACGGTCATCAAGAAAGAGTTTGTGGTTACACCCAATCCTCACGTCAAGCAGGAGGACCCGGTCCACACTCCTCCAATTAGCAGCTTCGCGTCCCGTCTCTTTACTCCGACGTCTAACAGGCGATCCGAGTCCTTCACCCCTGTGCCCAGCACTCGCTCGGTCCGGCAAAGTCTCCCGCCGGCACCCATGTACCAGTCGACCTCAACGTCCACCGCGAACACCGGAGGAACGAGCTTTGGCGGAAACTTGGGTGTATTCAACCACGCGAACTCGCCACTCAAGAAGACGTCGAGTCTTAATGAGATGAACCAGGGCTTCATGTCGCCCCGGAACTCGAGAGAAATGGCTGCTCGGGAACAACGTCGAGGAAGCCCACTGAAGCAGTCGGAGATTAGAAGATCGACTGGCTCAGATGCTCTCGACCACACGAGTGCTCCCGATTACAATCCCTTTGCCAGCGCGAAGAGGAACAGAAGCAATCAACAAGGGGAACGGTACCCTTCTAGATGGTCGGGTTTCCACTGAGAGGGCTTGACGTACGTGGCATGAGAGATGGGTGACATTGCTCTGGGAAGACTTTTTGCTTGATGGCTTCAAACTTATTTACAGCAGCATATGGCGGCGTTGGGCTGGTTCGGGCGGATGGTCGATTCCTGGGCCGGCGTTCTTCTTTGTTAATCAACTATTCAAGTCTCAAGACTGAATTTGTATTCTCTTCAATCAATCTTTCTTTGGTGAAGGTGCATTATTCCCGGCACAGTTCTCGCGAAATCCCTGCAACTTGGCGAATTGGTGACCTTGTACCTTGCGATCCTTGGATATGTCTTCAGGATATAGAAGTGACTGTATCTGCCTCCTGATGGTGACTGAGTTTATTTTGTTGTTACTGACGTTGGCTACCCAGCCAACTAAAGTCTGTCAATTCCTTCATCCTGAAGACTAGTCTCAGTGTTGCTAAATCTAGCCTCGTCGGAGATTGACGACCCTTTGGCTCGCCAGACTTAGATTTCCTCTGAGAACTTTCACGAAGACGCGTCTCATTGCCGAGGGAACAAGCTTTTCCCGGTTGTCTGACCTCTGCGATAGCGGGAGATAAAGATATGCCTCCTCGTTCCGTTTCGTTTGACACTTCTTATCCATGGAAAATACTCGCCGCGCTGTCGAATATGGTCATTTCAGTGTCTAAATATTCGCATGGGTCTTGGGAAGTCAGATGCCCTTGATAAGCCTCCGCACACATGAAAACGAAGAAAAGCAGAATAAACAGTTGAAGAGCAGATAATGCGAATTCCACAAGCTATGCTGATTCTTTCCTCCCAGTAGAATAACGAGCAAGGTTGTCAACATCGACACTTGATGCCTTTCCTCGGATGATGTTTTGCCAATCTCTAGTTCCTGTCTTCACCAAGCCCTTTGGCTATCACTCCGTTGCTGTATGGATTCCTCACTACGTCTTGCTCCATGTTCCCGCATCGTACTTCAGAAAGTGCAGGGCAGTGACATCTAGACCTCGGAAGCATGAACTTTCCTTGACCCAAGCTTCCCCACAAGCCTCCATATCGATCGCCTCGCCTGCGGTGGCGAGACGGAAGAAAGGAGAAAGGGTCATAGGCGTTGGAGGGACGTTGTGGACGGAGGTCAGTCTGATGAGGCAGGAAGGTACCCTGGATGCTCGACGAGAGCCTCAAGAGAAGGCAGGTACATTGGAGGCGCTGCACCTGCTCTCCTTGAACACTGCTCTGCCAAGAAATACCGTAGCGCATTCAAGAATGTGCACCTCATGTGATTGATAAAGTACGTTCGGTTCCTTAGAAGGAACTGTCTAGTGATGCCAATTGGAACGAACCATCTATCATTCATTGCTACCCGAGCCTCATTAACATGCCTGCGCTACGAGAATGTGGTTTCCAACCGGAATGTACTTCCTGCTTCGTACTGAACAAAAGTCTGGGTCAAATATTGGACTCTCTTGAAAGTCTTCAATTCACGATTCCACCAGCGATGAGCTCTTCGTAACGTTCTGTCCATGTCGTTGAAACACTCCTCGATGATCTTTTCGAGCTCTTGTGTGTACTCCGTCATGCATCTCGACAGGTGCGACGGGTCCAAGGTTTCGGTTCCGTCAAGATCTCTTACATCGATGTTGCATATCTGTGTATCTGCCGCAGATATCCGGCGCAGCTTGCAGCGTGTCTTTGGTGCATTGAGGTAGGAGCCAAAGCAAGAGCCATTTGAGATGTCTCCGACAACCACTGACAGAGTCTCCAGTTTCGGAAAGTAGAATGTGAGTACCCAGGCTACCAGATCCAAGAATTCTTTCTCGCCTGGGATAGCCAGATGCCTTGTCTCTTGAATGACGTGTTCGAAAGCGTCTTCACTGGCAATGTCTTCCAAAGATGCCGGACCTTGGTTCTGGCAGAACAGGGTATCCAATTCCGGCTGATAAGATCGAAACGGCACAGGAAAATCAGTCGTGTCAATGGCCGAGCGCGGACGCATAAGATGAATTCCACTCAGTCTAGAGTTCTGGACGAATTGGCGAGACTCGCGGCAAACATGCATCAGCACCGGAAAGGCAGTGTACACCAGCAACGACTGTGGTGTGTCGCATGTCGACGGAACGATGCAAACTTCTGACTCGACTTCAGGAAGTGACAGCTTCCAGATCTCAGCTCGAATTTCTGGAGGCAATTCGCCAAAGAGGGGGAAATCCATTGCGCAGGCGTGGGTGACGGTTGCTCTGGTTGACGTCTAACAATGGAAGGAGGAGGGCGAAGCACAAAAGGAAAAGGGATGGGAAAGAGAGAAATTCAATTGAGTTGGATTATATGCTGGGAAGGAGTGTCGCCAACTTACAAGCAACTGCCTTGTTCCTTGAGTCAGGGGTTGACAGCAGCAGCAGTTCGTCGAGTCGTTGCGCCTCTTTGACATTGACTGCTCAAACCTGTCGTCCCTTCCTGCGCAAGGATCTCCCTTTCCAAACGCAACCCATCATTTCCGATCTCTTACATCGCCGCCGGACACACACCTGGCAACGGGTTCCTGAGTTCTTTTGCCGGCATCGTTGTTTGTTTACTCTCTATTTGTCGTACCATGCAGCATTTCTATCCCCGCATCTCCTCGAATTGAATTATGTCAACCCACTCAGCTCCAGCCACCGGTCGACCGCCCGATGCACCATCGTTTCGAGTCTTATCTCGACGTCCTGGACAGCAAGTCTCCGAAGGGTTTGGCCGGAAGTTAAATCTAAGCGCGCGTTTGAGGGCCGTCCTCCCAAGCCGCCGGGCTGAGAAGGGTAGCACCCATCGGAATCAAGGGTACTAGGAAACCGCCGAAAACCCTCGTTCGAGATCTAGACACTCTCCGACAAGTCCACCACGAATAGGTCGAAGCTCTGACCGCATCACACGCTGGAACACGGCCAAGGAACTGGGCCGTTCTCGGAAAGCCCGATCTTCTGAACCTGAGCCTCTTCTCCGAAGAGCTAACACGATCGCTCATACACCGGCAACTAGATGTTCAAGAGAAGAACGAACACTGGAAGAACGTCGATTGATCCACCGGGAGCGCAGAACTCTGAAAGAGAGTGGAGATTACCTTGGCGTCACAGGAATCAACCCAGTCACAGGAGAACTAGACGTTGAGACACCGTCTACAACCAGCTTCAGCTCTGCTTCCTTGACTCTCGACCAAAAGCTGGAAGCTAGACACAAGTCGGAGTCTCGACGTACGCGCCGCGGGGCCGAACTCCTCACAGAAGAGGTGACCAAAAAGCTCCAGCAACGAGAAGAGCAAAGATTTGCCCGGAAAGATCGGGAAAAGGAAGCCATACGACAAGCACAGCGCAACGTTCAGTGGCAACGCCATAGACAGCAGTGGTCTTCTGCCAAAGAGCCTATACTTAGCCCGATTGCGCAGTCAAACAAGAGCGTATCGACTCGCGGTAAGCTAGCTTGTGTCGACATTGGGCTCATGTACTGACCAATGAGTCAGGTTCTGAAGCGAAAGACGTCCGATACCTGCCTGAGCAACCAAACGCTCATCGTTTGGGGATGGGCCATACTGATCCCAAATCTCATCTGCCCAAACATATCATCTCGGAAGAAAACGATGCTGATTCATCTGACACTGTGATACGAACCCCTCAAAGCAGACGATCATCCATGGCATCCACCGCGGCTCAGGAACTCGGAACAAACGTTCGAAACTTAGGCGGAGATCGACGACCTACGCAGTTGCCGCTCCCGTTGGGAAACTTGAACTCTCCTCAAAGCATCAGTGAGAGAAGCCGGCCTGGTCACTTCGCCCTCCCAGCACCAGTCACCAAAGGTCAAAGCCAGAAGGGCAAAGCCATGGAAAAGGAGCTACCACCCATACCTCAAGGACCTCAAAAAACGGTGTCTTTTTTAGGCCAGCGACGCCCAGAGACAGAGCCGGGAGGCCGGCAAGCTCTCCGGGACGTTTCCAACCCAATGGTTCTACGGAAAGCAGACGATCAGGATCCGCTGGGATACCACAGCAGGGAATTCTCAAGAAACATGTCTCTAACCTCGGGCAAAATCCCCATCCGCCATTCGAGGACAGTATCAGCAAGCGCAAACCTGACGCCTACAAACCTCTTGAGAGATCATATCCTGGGGGAAACATACCTACACCCAGCCCTGGACTACCAGCAGCAGGCAACACTCAACCGCTGGGAGGCAAGACAACTTATCCCACTGATCCGAGATATGGAAGCCCTGGACGACGAGGTGGAATTGGCAGTAGCGCCGCTAGTAGTGGCTTACCGTTCATTGATGCAAACTCACGAACTCAACGACCAGCAGGCAGCCAAGACTCGTGGCCCACCAATCACAGCGAACATATCCCCATTCGAGTCATTATTGACATCCCAGATCGACCAGAAAAGCCCGCCGCTTCAAGAGAACTTGTTGGCCCGAGAGCATATCCAGGCGCTGGAGGACAACCTTTGCAAGGTGACCCAAGAGCCGCCAATCCCGAAAAGTCTCACCTTCGAGGACCGAGCAACATCTCCAAGAAGGATGGAGGTTCGCGAGGACGTGATATGCCAGCGGGAAGTGGGAAAGATGGAGGCTCTAAAGACAAAAGCTGCCACCACACCCATCACCACCATTATTGGCTGCGGCCAAGGTCTTTCACAATCGAGCCTATGCCAAGAAGAACCCAAGAGAAGAGTCAGCGAAAGCTGGAGCATGTTGCAGAATCGACGTGTGAGTCGACAGTGCGACGAACAGATGTCAACGTCAACAGAGGACATCTCGACCGAAAAAGTGCGACATCTAAGGACCGTCAAAATAAGGACCCAGGCTTTGGCACCAAAAGGAAGCCAAACGCTGACCCTCCAGCATCGAAACGATGCGATCCACAAGGTGGTCGAGAAATACTCTGCGAGAAATTTGGCAGACAGCGACAAGCAGGAGAGCCAAGCCGAGGACCCTGTCACACTACACATGTCCACGTCTACATCACCCCTAACCGTGTTGGAGCCAGCCACTCAGCAGGGCCAAAGCAAGATCGCATCGACGGGGGCGGCGCGGGCCGCATTGGCCAATTCGGGCAACAGGACGGCGGAAACTCGGAAACAGAGCCTCCCGGCCAGCGGAACGCCCAGATCGCTGCCTACCAGCCTCAGGAAGCCTCCTCCCGACTCTGTTCCGAGTAGGAGATTGCGGAACAAGTTCAAGATCATGAGGTTCTCGAACACGAGCCCGTCAAAGTCAACAAACACCATAGCAGACGGTATAGAGGCGATGAGCAGCCGCAAGAGTTCAAAGACGTTTTGTGCCATGAAAGGGAGAAACGACAATCTACAGGATACACCAACGGAGAGCCAGCAGTTGTCAGCAGCAAGTCAAGCCAGGTTAAAAGCTGGCTGCAGCACGTCAACGACCCTGGTGAACAGCGACTCCGAAGGCGGCGACACCGGAGGTCGTTTGAGAAGAGGCGTGTTGAGTAAGCGTGTGCTAGAGTGCGCCACCGACGGCAAGCAGATTGCGGGGAGCGTGGCTCGATGGTATTGGAAAGCCATATCACCTTGCTTTGATCCGACATCGCCAGCCAGAAAGCGACTTGATGTCAACAAGTCAACTTGGACGGACGTTGGGAGGTTTCTCGTTGCGCTGAGCAGCGGCTTCGCGTTATTGGCGACAGCGGTCCGGATCGCGCAGGGGATTGCGTGGGTGATGCAGATGGTGCAAGGCTTGCTGGGGGGTTTGATTGCGATTCTCGGTTCCTGACAGCCGGTGGTGACGAAAAAGGGAGGTTGTGGAGGAAAGCTTGGCGTTGGAGCCCGACCAACCGCCGATCGGCGCTGTAGGGACTAGGTCGGCTGGGTGAAGCGCGACGAAAGCCATACTCCGTATATCGGCTGGGTTGGGGGAAAGGAATGTTTGATAAGACGGAGGCCGAAAGCGCAGCGTCAAATGCACATGATACGAGTCGAACGGGCGCTGTTTGAGCTTGTGTGGGGTAGTGGCAGGCCAAGCATGCAGCACGAAGGAGATCAACCCTTTCGAGACTGGATTACCTTGCTTCTCGAGTGCTCGGACAAGGTTGACAATGGCAGCACGAATGCAATGGCAGATGGCCCGGGTTGTTGATGGAGTTGACGCAGTATTGATATGCCGGTATGGCTACGGATACAGACATTAATCAAACAGAGTTGCACCACAGAGGGAGCAGCCCGGGTATACTTTTGCAATGCATGGTGAAGTCGGCACCTCGGGCTCGGGTACGGTTACGGGCAGTGGTTATTGGGGAGGGTAGATGTTCTCCGGATTAGCCTGGGAGCGCTTGTTGGGATGACCGCAGGAGGGCCGGCCGATGCGGTGAAGCTGCCTCATGCTGGACATTGCGTTTGCGACAGCAGTAGCGACGGCGATCGAGGCCCTATCATGTTATCGCGTAGTTCTGCAGCGTCATCATCGAGTAAGCCTCGGCGGGCGGATGTTGCATCCAGCTCCAGGATGGGATTCAGGGATTATTGATTTACGAATCACTGCCACTTCTGCTTGGGTTGAATGAACGGGCGATACTCCGTGATTCCGTAATACGGTACGTACTCCTGTTCTCGGAGGTCTTGGGAGCTAAGGTGGTAAGTGCCACTATTCGTACTGCGTATGTGAGAAGATTGGACAGGTTGGAGTCATTCTTAGTGCACAAAAAAAAGTGCCGGGGACTGGAATAAGATTGGAACCGTTGAGAGGCAAAGCGAAGTGAAATGCTGCAATGTAGCTTCGGCATCGCGTCAATTACGTACATGAGGGGGTTATGAATGATGCCGGCGCCAGCATTCGGTGTTCTGCTACGGATCTCGCTGGCGCATGTACTTGGATTGAATCTGGCATGTATATCCGTACTAATTACACAAAAACAGTTTTAGGGTCACTGGTGACCGAGCAGGCATCATAGTGAGGGCGAAAGAGAAGACCAAAAAAAAAGTCAGCAACGGCAAACGACGGAACAAAACGGAGACGGTACTGGACCCCCCAAGTAGCAGAGGGTACTTGTTGGACACATGAGAATTCAACGAGTTGCTGTTTTGGGCGGCGCTGAGCCCATTGGAGCCCATATTACTCGTCAGATTGCGGGCTCTTTGCGTCTCACGTGCGGGACGTGTAGTCAAGCGGTGGAGTATCAAGTGCCGTCGTATTCCATTATACTAAGGTAACGGTATCCTCTCCGAAAGTGGGAGA